GGCTTTAGCTTCTCAGTGCTGTGCTTTAACCCGCTGCGCCACCAGGGAGGGCCACCAATGACATTTTTTTTAAGGACATAGACCAAGTCTATAATTTGTAAGGGGGTGGGGAGAGAGACAGACGGATGGGGGTCATGCCAGGGGGTGGGAAGGAGGGGGTTGATCTTCCCTAGTGGCACAGGGCTTAAAGACATAGTACTATCACACTATCGCCAGTCACTGCAGCATGAATTCCATCTCCAGCCAGGAGCTGACCCTCATGGCACAGCAGACCTCACCTGTCTTGCCACTGTTACCCTTAGCGGGATATTTTAAGTCTGCCTGTTTTGCCTCTCACTCCATCTCTGGTGAATCCTCTCACCCCTTGCATCTCTGGCCTGTACCCAAATTCTTGTATGCATAAATAAGTCATAAAACTGAAATAAACTTTGTATGGAACCACTAAAGATCACAAATAACCAAAGCAATTCTGAGAGAAAAGAGAAAAATGGGGTTATTACACTCTCTAACTTCAAGCTATATTCTAAAGTGACAGTAATCAAAGAGTAGGGTAGTCAAACTAAAACAGGCATACAGACCAGTGGAATAAAGAACCCAGCCAAGACATAATATGGATAGTTAATTAAATCTATGACAAAGGAAAGCCTCTGAACAAATGACAATGGGACACTTTAACAGTCACATGATAATGAAACTGGAGCATTATTACACAGCAGACTAGACACTTGAAGGAAAAAGAAAAAAGACTTGAATATAAGACTGAAACAATAAAACAGAAGAAAACACAGGCAATACACTCCTGGACATCGACCTTAGAAATGTTTTTGGAGACTCAATTCTTAACAAACAAGGGAAACAAAAAACAAGGGAAACAAAAATAAACAAATGGGATGACATCAAGCTAAATGCTTGTGTATGGTCTAAGAAACCACTGCAAAAACTAACATACAATCTACTGACTGTGAGAAAATAGCTGCATGTCATTCATAGGGACATAGTGACAAAAATAGAAAATCTGATGCAATTGAATAGCAAAGAAAACCAAACCACCCAATCAAAAAATTTGCAAAGGACCTGAAGAGACACAACTCCAAAAAAACACAAAAACCCAAAGATGGCCCAGAGGCACATGAGAACAGCTAAACATCATTTATTAAAAGGGAAACAAAAATCAAAATCACAATGGAGCTCATCACCACACATCTGTGAGAATGCCCTGTATCAAAAAGACTGCAAACAATAATTGCTTAGCTAGGGGATGGAAAAAAGGAATCCTCATTCACTGCTGGTGGGAATGTAAAGTGGT